TTTTTTTATATTAACTTCTAAAAGCACCATTAATAACGAAACAGTTTGTAATGTTTTCTTTCCACTTTCAAAACCTATTTTGAGGGAAGACATTACAAGGAGATTCTAGTCCCTGCATCTTTTACCCTCTCCTCAAAATCCTCAATGGACCCACTATTGCGGTTTTTGAGTTGAAGTTCTAGCACGCCAGGGTAACACAGGGAATTCTTGTGTCTTAGATGGTAACCAAGGGTCCAGGGTAATGGGTGATTCCTTTATGTTCTGTAACACCATAATCCAGGATGAGAACACTGAGTCTGATTTCACAAGTAGTGTTTCCCTTTCGGTTTTAATCGCACACACTTTTGTATGTGAGTGACAACCACAGTTATCAAAGATATTTCTATCAGTTCAGTCATCTAAGGGAATATTTCATTTAGCTGAGAGAAATCTTAAATGTCTTCTTGAAAAGGTTATATTACCAAAAAATTCCTTTTAGATAACACTTCTAAACAGAAGATGATTAGGCTTTGTTATTTTAAAAACAGGACATAATCTCCATTTATTAGTTTATGATATATAACATATAAAATCTTAACTAAAATATATAACTATATATGTGATACATAATCATAAACTAATAGGTCTTCAAAAAGGTCTTCTGGACGCTTAACATTTTAAACAAAGCGGCTGAACCAAACAGAACAATCTTGAACACCAGCTCCAGGTGGTTTTGGTTTCTGGGAACAGAACCGAGACAATATAAAGATTGTACTATTTCTATCTATTGTACTTCCCCCACCCAATTTATACCAGAATTATAACAAAGTCTAAACAATTAAAGTTTAGATTTGACTTATTTCTATTTATCTTTTATTGCATCTTAATTTAACGACATTATTCTCATCTAATGGCAACTATGTGCAAAAAGACTTGAGACTAGTTGGTTGCTCTGCGAAGCTGGATCACGGGGATAGGAGTGTGGCCCAGTTATTTGCCTTTGTGTTCTTGACTTTATCTTGAAACTTTCTCAATCAAATCAACTTTTTAATATGACCACAATGTCTATATTGCTGAAAATTAACCCTCAGCCATAACACTGAGGCTTTGCCGAAAAGAGCCAGAGAACTCCACTTTCAGCTCAACAACTGCTGACTTCATTTACACAGTGTTAGAACCTCATTCTGTCCTCCCCTGTCCTTCCCGCCATCACCACCTGGTCGTTTGTTTTTCACTATGACATGAGCTCATCTTTCCAGTACACAGAATTTCCATCAAATATATATTACATTGCTGAAGAGCAATTGGATGTTTTTTTTCCTGAAAACCCTGTTTTTCAGGATATATTCCTGTTAGTTTACTTTCCTATGTCCAGGTAAGCACACTGTACTATTCCTGGAGCTTGTCAAAAACACCATCCATAATGATCCACATCAAACAGACCGTTAGAGGGTACTGACAATGACGTCTTCATCGAATATGATCACTACTAAAGCCTTCGCTCCTTGTTTGCTCTGTAATGCTGTGCCAAGATCTTGGCCTTTAGCTGTACCCAGAATTCCTGGAAACATTACTTATTCCATTGTTTGCGAGCATCAGCTTTAGAATGGTTTCACATCCACAACAGAATTGGAGGATGAACAAAGTAGCGTCAATCTCTTACTGAGCTGGAATTGTTTCCTTTACCTAAACATAAGACTTGGAGCCAGTTAGAACAGAATTTTAAGTAACACCCTATGTTGGTGCATTTATAAAATAACCACAAGTAAAACAGAATAAAAGCCTTTGCTGTCACAGGATTCATTTTTCTTTTTTTGACCTTCGGTATAAATTTTTTTTCCTGAATATTAAAAGCATCAACATTTTTAAATTCTGAGGAATACTGCTGGGAACTATGATTAAGGACTCACAATGTTTAACTTTCAAAATATAAATTAAAAAAACTACTCTTTATACCCTAGCCTGATGACTTAAAGATATCAGCAGGGTATCACAAAAATAACCCTAACACTCAAAATGGGCTTGATTTAAATATCATAAAGGCTAAACATCATGGTTCCATCATCAGAAAACACTAACAATATGGGTAGAAATAACATTGCACAATTTCTATTTGAAGCTTTCAAAGTAGTACGCTAGTAACTGATTCCCTTCTATTTTGGCTGCATTTTGAGTTATAGAACAAGAGCAATTTTTTTTTTTTTAATGGGTCCTTTTAAAAAACAAAGAAAAAAGGAAAGTCAATACCAAGAACCAAGCAGACTCCCATCAGAGAGACAGGGAGTGGGCATATTCGATGGTTTGTTAGATAACATGGGAGCCATGATCCCCTTCTCCACTTGCCCTCGGGTGTGTGCCAGCCTTGGTGCCAGGGCAGCAGGGCACTGCGGCATGCGGAGGGGCAGACAGTCTTGCTGGCTCCCACTTGCTCCTCAGGCCAAAGTCCAGGCAGAAGTTGGCCTTGTGGGGTTCCTGTCATCCTGCCAAGCCATGGCACTCCTGGGACACTGCTAGGAGAACGCTGGCCAAATCTTGCATGAGAAGTCACCTCCCTCACATTCTCTTCAGTGTTGGGGGGTCAGACTATAGGAAACCCCTTCTGATCAGATTTTATGGTGTTTGTGCACTCACCAAGTAAAGTAAGAGAAAGAAAAAGAAAGCAACTTGTTTAACCTCACACAATAGAAAGGAAAGGATTCTTCGAAGTGGTTGTATCTGGGAATGAAGCCCAATATCCCTAAATCTCAGCTTAGTTTACTGTTTTTTTCATTTACCAATGTGTTTTAGAAATTTAAATCATTATGATCCTATCTACTTTGGGCCATCATATCATTGCTTTCTCAAAGAGAGTGGCCCAAAGCCACTGTTGCACACATACAGAACAAGCTACGTGCCATTTGATATCAATATACAAAGCATATTCAGCCATATATGTAGCTCCACAGTATAGACACAAATTTAAAAAGCAGATATGCTCAAAAAGAGGACATTATTTGCCATTCGTAGGGCTAGTAATAGGAAATATTCCTTTTAAGAAGGTTCCTCCACACCACACGCATATGCAGATATTGAGATGAATATTCACATACCTATATACAGATGTCCAGAAGCAAACACAATCGCCTCGTATATGCAATCTCTTTTCTGAACCGATAAAGACAATGCATTTCTAAGGAATATTTGAATTTTATTGTATTTTTTTTAGAAAAGTGGAAATCATAACCTTACACAATTTCTTTTAAATGGATAAACTTAGACAATTTATTGACGCTTCCTTAAATTTTTACACCATGCTGAACTCAAACAGGTTTTTGTTTTAAGGTAAACCAGGTTTTTGGTTCTTCCCCGCGGAGAAGTGACTTTCAAGTCAGTGAAAGTTCTTGGCCCATGATTAAAAGTCTTTGCCAATTAGTACTCAACAACCTCAATTCATTTTCTTCTGGTTCAAGATGAGTAGGAGCCTAATAAGGCTGCGATGAAAGGGCAAAAGGCACCGAGAGCCAAAAGCGGATTAATGAGCTCCTCCGTTTATTTGTCTTCCTAACAGCTGAACTGTTACAACTATTGACACTCTTCAAAAGGTTCCGCTCTGAACCCTGTCCAGGCTCTGCAGGCTCCAATGGACATCTTCAAATCCAGAGAATGGAGGGGCAAGAGCTTCCCCTGTGTGATGCCAAAACCAACAAAGCCCCACGGATCAGGTAATGAAACTTCAGCTTTTCCCCCTTTGAGATTTATTTACTGGCAGCTGACAAGGGGCAAATTCAGCTCGAATTGTGCAGTCAAGGCCCTGTCAAGCTTTTAGAGGCACCCTTGTCTTGAAGCACCTTCATGACTGGCATTTCACTCAAAAGCCCTCGGCACTGGTCCTTAACAGCTTATGACATCACAAAGGACACTCCAGACAGATGCCTACATGGCATCCTGCAGCATTTTAAAAGAGAATTAGTGGTTTTAATTATGGTCGTAGTATGAAAGGGAACCATGCAAGCTCCACAGGAGACCTTTGATCAGACCCTTTTGCTAGTACAATGCCACGGAACTGTGACTATTCCTGGTAAGGGGCCTTTTCTTGCTGAATGACTCACCAGTGATCTTTGAATGCAGACAAGCTTCTAGCCCTCCCTCTTCATTAGTGAGCATTTCTATACAGGGGCCTATATAGTGCTTGGAGTCTAGGAGCTACACAATTGGGGGGAAAAGAAGCCCTACAGATTCTGGCCTCTACTTAGGAAGTGCTGAAGGACTCTGAGTGACTTTATTCATTAAAACAGGTTGCTATTAATTAACTGTCATAATAAAATAAAGAACTATTATTTGCATTTCTTACTATGTTCTCTTTAGTAATATGTATAAAAGATGCTTGTAACAGAAATGAATTTATTGAATCACTTCCCCATCCCCCCCATCTCTGCCCTTTTTTTTTCTTTGCATTTTGGCAGCAGGAGCCTACTAATTATTGGGCCTAGATCTGTGAATCCAGATAGAGGTAAAACATAAATATAAAATTAATGAAGTAAATAAAAAAATCCTCTCTACTTGCCAGTTTCTGCAACTGAAATAAGCAAACATCAAATTAGTGATTTCAGCGAACTATCTAGGACAACGAAACCCAAACTTTTTCTAAAATATCACTCACTTTAGCTTGAAGTGTAAGATTATATAACAACTATAGTTACTTTTAAAAAAACTGTACTCTAACTTGAAGCGTAACAAGACTCATTCCTTTTAAAAACTATTTCACTTTTAGGAAACAAAATGTCTTTGGTCTGGTGTTAAAAGAATTTAACCTTTAAAACTGATAAGCATGGCCCTTAAAAGATTCATGGTAGATATTTTCGTTGTATGAACATAATTTATTCTCTTCTAGAGTATAATGAAGCACAGTCATTTGGTGAAAGATTGTGGAAGTAGGAAGACTTTTCAAAAGCTTCTGACTGAAATGTTATTTGATAATGTAGAATTATCAAATTCTGTAAAACAGAATTTTGCATAAATATACACCCCATTAAACAGTACTACTGTATCATGTTAGTTCTATCTGGGAGATGATTTCGTTTTAAATTTTTTATACAGTTTTTTTCTTGAAGGAAAAACTTTTGGACTTCAGAATTTTGGAAGCTGACTGACAGGCAGGTTTTTCACATTTTGCTGTCTCAGACATTTTTCATATTTCTTAGACTTTGCAGTTCTTTTCTTAGGTGCTTTAGAGCAACTAAAATATCAGCTTGCTGTGGATCATTCTGTGCTTTCTGAGTGTAGAGACGGAAGTGTCTGATGGTTTCAGATAAGAGGACTTCAGGGTCTGCATCTCTCTCCCGAAGACGTAGCATCCGCTCACAAGCGATGGCATAGTTCTTGTGCCAATTCACTGGGTGTTCCTTTTGCAAATAGACAATCTCCTTATAAAGCTGGAAAACAGCAAAAATGTTGGTATTCCATTGTTGTCCCTTAACTTCTTTTTTCAAAAACAAAAAGCACAGGGGAATTAATAATAATAATATAAAAAACCCAAGCAGCCTACAGTAAAAATCTAATCATTGCTAGGCCATGCAGAAAATGCAAGGATGTTACTGTAATTATTACAGTAGCAGGAGGCAAATACGCTTCGTTTAAAACTGCTTCTGAGGTTTTTTGGATGTCGCAGGGCAAACCTAAGACACACTGTGTCAGGACAAAATGCTCTTCCTCCAGAAAGATGTTCTGGGAAAGGGATTTAGTTCTAATTCATGGAAAGCTATTTACTCAACAGGCAGAAGGGTTGAAACTCTAAATTTAGCATTGGAGAAAAAAATAGCTTTCTTTAGAAGTCTGCATGGAAAGAGAACTTGAAGGAATTTAAATTTTTGTCCTACATGATTTACATAAATTTCTCTCCACATTAAAAACAACACGAATATTAATAACAAGAGCAACAACAAAACAATCAAAACAAATCCAATATCAAATAGGTTGGGCATAATGGAATTTAAGATGTCTTAAGCAAGATATTTTAAATCTTCACAGTATCGTACTATTTATAATTTTGACAGTTAAAACTTTGCCCACAAAAATTTAGAATTTTGTCTTTCAGCATCAGTGATGGTATTAAATGGATAGAGTTAGAATTGTTGATATTGAGTTTCCCAGAGGAAACACATCAAAATTTAACAAATAAACAAAAAAGCAGACACAAATATGCAAAATGGAATATTATATTAGCTTATTTGGGAATTTCACAGCCTTCCTGGGGATTGTCGAGTTACAGCTGGATTCACAGGAGTTTCCCAGTGGACTCTCTGAGAGCACAGAACAAGCCATAATGCTTTCTCCTGGGACAAGTGCTTTTTGAATTAGAACTGTACTCATGACATCATCTAGTTGAAAGGGACCCTATTATATTATACTCCAACCCCTACTCCAGGCAGACAAATGCATACCTATTTTAAAATAGCATCCTTGTAAAAAATTCCACAATCCATGCTTAATATATCATTTTGACATTTAATAACTCACAGTCTTCAAACTGCCTTTGGAAGCAACTTTCCCCTTAGTTCCCTTCATTTTACAAACTAGGAAAGAGTCACTATGCACTTTCATAAATATCAAAGCTATTAAGTCAGCCTCCTACTCTTTTATTCTCTTGTTAAAATACTCAAAGTTTCTCTACCTTTTCCTCATCTTTTTTCCCCAGCAGTTTCTCCTCCTGAGCCTCCCCCTGACGAGGTATGTGTGTAAAGCATGCAGCATGCTGCCCTGCACAAGGCAGGCACTCAGGAACTGTTCGGTTTTCAAAATGCTACTAAGTAAAGTTTTGAAGTCCAAAACAGATGCCAACATTTCCAAGAGCATTTCCCCAACTGCTCAAGAGAATGAGAGGCTCACTCAACCCAGCTAAATCCACACATCAGGTTAACCATACTAGCTTTTTCTAGAACACTTTGTTACTGACACATCATCAACTTATTTTGGATGACCTGTTAAGCCACATGTGCTGCATCTTAAGAAGCCAGTCATTTCTCCTTATGTGGGATTCTATTTCCCTCTCGTTATGTGTGTTACAGTGACATTAGTCTTAGCAGACTGTATTTTGTTAATTGGGGACATTTGCAACTTACCCAATCTATTCCTAAGGAGCTGGCTGCTCCCTGCTCCCCCACTATACCTAAACGTAATGTTACCTGAACTTAATGCTCTGCATAAGTGATTGAGTGGGATGAAGCAAATAATAACAAAAATATCCTTTATACCTAACAAGAATATTCTTGAAAAACCAACACTAGGGTAGTAATTAAGTAATTGCCATTAAGTAATTGGCCTCATTTGTCTTGTAAACACTTTCACACATCTGGAGACATGCAAAGGAGATACTAATAGTCTGTGTTCACTGAAAAAAATAAAGCTTGCTGACTCAAAGAGACAATAAATCCATGAATGAACTTCAGTAGAGGCTCCACAATGGGCCATGGAAGAGATCACTGATGAAAATATGAATTAGTAAGTTTCAGATTTCTACCAATTAAATATTGCTTGTTTTTCATAGAATTATAGGATATTAGAGATAAACAGGATTATATGACCAGAATACGAGAGATAACCTTTTAAAGTTTAAAGCCCATGTTTTTTTTTTTTTTAGAAAAATATCAAGGCCTAGAAAGGCTAATTGACTCACAGTTGACAATGAATGTCAGAGTGGGCCTAGAACAGGACCAGACAGACAAAACTCCAGCAAGTCCCCTCCTATAATCAAGTCCCTTGCTGTCCTCAAGTGGGACCCCCTGGAGGGTTCTGCCTTTGCCCCCGTGGCTGCCGCCTTATGGACTGCCCTCCCCTCCCTCTCTCGCTTCCTTGCCCCACCATCTGTCTGGCTAGCTCCTTCTGATCTTTCGAGATGACATTCCGGTGACATCTCCTCTGGATGCCTTCCCTCCCTCCCTCAGCCCCCTCCTCCCCCGCTTGCTCATGTCCTGCTCTCTGTGTTCCCAGGGCACGTCTGCGGGCCTCTCACAGCACTATGAGACTGAACTCGGACTGAGAACTCCATCTTCTGTCTCCCTCCCTCGCCTGCTACATTTTTGATAGCAGGGACAAGACTTGATTGTCTCCAACACAATATTTGGTATGGTGTGGGTGCTCAATAAATGCCCTGTGAGTGAATGAACAAATGAATAAACAATGAATTGATCAAAATTTAGGAGTACAATTACTCATACTGATTGGACACCATGCTATTTTGGCTCAGCACCAAACGAATGTCTGGCTGAGTAGATCCACAGACGTCTAGAAAGAGCAGAAATACCTCAGTTGCTCATACATACAAGTCCTGAGCTTTGTTTTCATTGGCCCGTGCCAGGATATTTGTCTCCTATATAGCAGACTCTGCAGATGTCTGAAGAGCCCAATGCTGTAAGTTGCAGAAACGCAGAGACTTGTTAAAGTAGTGCTATGGCAAGCCTCTCCTCTGCACTCTCATTTCCCATCAGAGAGCACTGATTTGTGCAAGAGCATTGGTGTGGCTTTGTGTTCTGAAGGTTCATTCAGCTTCCTGGGGCCACAGTTAGAAGACAGAGCCACTCTCCATACCCTTCATCTCCAACGTGCAATCTCAACCAGCCACGGCCCTACTATTTCAAGTATAGCCAGGGTCATGACTTTTACACAGAGGGTAACCTGCCAGGACTTGTTTTTTATAAAGCTATTATATTAGTTTCCCATTGTTGCTATTAAGAAGTTACCACAAACACAGTGACTTGAAACAATGTAAATTGATTATCCTGCACTTCTGGAGGCAAGAAGTTGTAAAATCAGCATGGCTGCCTTCCTTTTGGAGGCTCTAGAAGAGAATCTGTTTCCCTACCCTTTCCACCTTCCTGAGGCCACCGGCGCTCCTTAATTCCTGGCCCCTTTCTCCACCTTCAAAGTCTGCAGCGTAGCATCTTCAAGTCTCCCTCTCTCTGGCCTCGGCCTCTGCATCACGTCTCCCTCTCTGACTCTCACCCTCCTGCCTCCCTGTCATAGGGACCCTTGTGATTATGTTGGGCTCTCCTGGATAATCCAGCTACTCTCCCATCTTGAGACCCTTAACTTAATCACACCCCTTTGCCATGGAGGGTAACACATTCACGGGTTCTGGAGGTTAGAACATCGACATCTTGTGGGGGGCATTATTCTGTCTACCACAGCCTTTTAGATGCTGTGATATAATTGAGTATTTTTTTATATCTGCTGCTTTATAATGCCCCAATTAAGCTGGAAATAAAAGAATAAAAACTCTAATGATATACCCTCTCTCCGTCCCAAACAATTACCACCACCCTCCCACCAAATATATATGAAAAAAGTATAACATACGTTATATGCATGAATGTAGAGTTGAGCTTTCAAATTTGAAGGCATATTAGCAGTTTCTGCCAGGTTAAAGATGAAGAACGGTGTTTTCATCCTGGGAGTGGGGGTGGGAACTTTCATTAAAATTATATTGTCAATTTCACATTCAGGGCTAAATCTTCCAGGCTTTTCTACTGATAAGGAATGTATAAAACCCTTTATTGTATTATTTTTAATTCTCTCATATTCATGGACATTTACTCTGAACCAATAGCAACCCCACCTTCCCCCACCACCAAATCATTGCATTCACACTGATTACCAAATCTTTTAGGAAAAAAGCTTGCATTCATCATCACTATTAGACGTTGTCGTTCCTCCAGATGTACATTATTGTTATGCAAGAGCAGCCGGGAAAAGGGACACTTGCTGGGTTTGTTAGCATATCCCTGAAGGTAGCCATCACGGGGGCTCATGCCATGTGTGACCAGTTCTTCAAAGGTGGCCGGACTCTTTGACCACATGAACTCATCCAAATTGTATTCAGCACACCAATTAAATCAATACCTGCCCAAGTAATGATCTGCTTTCTTCTTTTATGTGATTTCTCCCAAGCTTTCCTGCATTCAATCAGTGAAGAATTGTGCATACATATGGTATATCTGATCAGTTCATCAAAGTATTTGTCCCTATGACTAGACCGATAACTTGAAATATGCCATTTTCTGATTTTTTTTCAAAAATGCTGTTGCATAAACTATAATAAATTTATTTTTTTCAATAATTATTTTGGAGCTCTATTTCTTGACCACTCTTTGAAAACCTCTTTAAACCTTTGTAAGCCTTTTATATCATAACTTGATTCTCAGTGCACAGTTCCTGGCTCAGACTGGGCATCCTTACATGTTTGCTGAAGGAAGCACTCCGTATGGACAAGGAGCACCTGTCTGTATCACTTAGGACTTTTACATTAATATTTAGGCCAAAGTTTCTTAGTTTTAGTTATTTTGATTTAAAGATAATGACGGGAACCAAAAGAAGCAGTAGCATCACTATGAAATGTTCTATAGAGGACAGTATGACCTCTCTTTTTGAACAACAGGAAAGTATAGCAGCTATCACATTAACATTCAGATCTCCTTTAACACGTCTGTCTGCTCCATTAGATTATGAGCTCCATGGGGGTAGGAACTGTGTTGTATTCATGTATGTTGCTTCAATGCCTAGCACAGTGCCTGGCCTCTAGTAAGTATTAAATAAGTGCTTAAATAATGAACTAGCACATTACAAATGGAGGTAGGGTTGTAATTGTCAACCTCTACTCAATCAATTACACTCACTTTGGTTTAGCTGAGGCAGGAAAGCACAGGAGTTAAGAGTGTTCCAGCATCAGACAGATGTGACTTTGGATTCCATCACTAGTAGCTATGTGGCCTTGGACAGGTAATCTTTCTACATCCAATTTGTTTTTTTTTTTTTTATAAGATGGGGATAATAATAACTTCTTCTAGGGTTATTGTGAGGATGAAATGAGATATTCATGCATAATGATTAGCACAATGCCTCAAACAAAATAACTGCTCATGAAAGTTATTTTTGTTATTACCACCATTCACCCCACTCCTCAAATGATGGTACTTTTCTGCCATATTAAAAATAGATTGCAAACACAAAAATGTAGATTAGTCACCTTGCTTGCCACATCTCTTCATTGGCCACGGATTCCCAGGAAGTTGAATCAAACCTAAAGTTACAAGAAGACAGTAATATCTTTCCATCATCTACATTTATTGCTAAGGATATGTAATGCCTGTTTTATAATTTTACAAGGCCAATAAAATTGGCTGGATCTTGAAGTACTGATAGTGCCAAACTAATAAACTTATTCTCCTAAAAAAGATCAATTATAAGGAATTTTGAGTTTTGGTAAATGTGTTCTTAATCTGCATAGTGAGCCCCTAGTGCCTCACGGGAGCAAACAAAGGGTTAACGGGAAGAGGCTAGAGGTGTCTGGGAGCCAGCTGTTGATAAGAACTGTGGAGGTAGCCTGGAGAGAGGGGACACCTGGCTTTGAGAAGTCATTCCTGGAGCTAGGATGCTGCTCAAAGAATGATGGCCAAACCATTTGCTGATTTTTCTTCCTTCTAAGTAAAATTTTTCTTATTACATATCTATTTTGACAGAATGGAGATGAGTGATGTTATGTATATGTACTTAGTCATCAGCTGTTTGAAGAATATGTTATTTTCTAACTTTTCCTTATGATGGTTGAAGAATGCTTTATTTTGGCTTAGTTATCCATCTCTGGCTGTTACATAACAATGTGGTCCGTGTTTGCTCATACTGACTCAAAAAACCCTTAAAGCATTTAAAAAATATTTTGTTTGTTGCTTTTAAATTATAAGCAATAGATTAGATAATCTTGAAATAATTCATAATTTAAAAAATGTATAATGGAGACACATTTCTTTTGATGGTGACTCATTTTTCCATATGGGAAACAGTAAACTCTATATAGAAATGCTTAATGCTCCAACAACATAACCAGGTTGATGCCAAACAACTGTGAAGAAAAAGTTACTCAAATTGCAGTCTTCCCTATAGAGAAGTTACCTGCCATTCTTAAAAACAGGAAACTATGACACAAGTTTATGCATATGAAACTATCATGAGCACGAGAATGCCTTTTAAAGCTCAACTGCAATTAATGAACCTCTACTATTTAATACTTTTAGGGTAATGAGACATAGGATGCAGGACAATATAGCATTAAAAGACTTGGAAGTCGAAGACGCCATACATCTAACTATTGTGCTACCCACTCAACCACAGCCTCCCTCTCCCTTCTATCTTCCCATTGTTCTGTGAACAGGACAAGAAAGATACGTTCTCTTTCTGTATGTTTTATGATACTTTGTAGGTGGCAAATAAGAATATGAATGAATAAAAAGTGAAACAAAAAATTAAAAGGCATCTCAAAATGTAGTTTTTTTGATACTCAAAACTGCTGTATTTAGATGCATAAAAATACAACTGCTGTTCATACCTTCCATATTCTTCAGTCCAGTTATACATATTTTTTGTAAGTTTAATCCATTCCTCAGGGTTGAATACAATCTCTGAAGGAACCAATTTGTCACAAGACCCCCATGGCCAAAGTGAATAGTTCTTTTTCCAGGTTGGGTCCCCTTCATGAATTCCTATGCAAACAAATGTTTCTTTTCTATTAAAAACAGAAAAATATATGATACATTTTTAACTTAAAGTTCTAAATGCTAAGTAAATATAATTCATGAAAGATCTTTTTAAAAATTTATTTTATTTTAATTATAATTTTTTTTCATTGTTCTAAAATCTATCACTGTAGAAAGATAATTTTTGACGCTTTAAATGTTGGTTACCAGTAAACCATTTGCAAACATTTTAGTTTATTTAAATGTTTCCCAAATAGACTGATATTTATCTTAGTGTAAAAAGCTATTTCGAAGGGTTGAAGGGAAGCAAACAGACATAGACGGAAAAACCTACCTGTCCATAATGTCACAAGAAATCACTTGAGGACAAACATTGTTATAAGGAAAACAGCTGTGCTTTTAACTCACATGTTTTCTTTGACACTCCTTTCTTTTACAGGTGGAAATATAAGTCTTTCTTTTCATCCCTACTTAGAAGTAGTCTTCCCTTCCTCAAATTTCCATCGTACTTTATTTTTTATCTCTTTTTTCATTATTGTATTGTACTTAATATTTGCATTTGTAAACCTCCCCGAGTAGCCCAGAAGCATCCTGAGTTAGGCTCCCTCTTCCTGAATTAACTCTGAATCCCACACAGCATGATGCATATCTAACACACAACAACTATTTGCTGAATAAAATTCATTAGATTAGAATAACTATCAGGAGCTTCAAATCCTGCAAAAATTAGCAACAGAAATGGCTTAAACAAGCTTAGTTCAGACAAAAAATGGCAATTGAATAATCGTTCTCTTCCAGTTTGTGGGTTATGCCTTAATAGCTATTACTAGGAAGGAAAAAAAGGAGCAAATTAGGGGAAATTATTTGAAGGTAAAAAACTTTGTGAACTTTGAAGCAAGACAGTTCTGGCTTAGATTTTAGATTTTTTTCCCCCACCATTTATTACCTCTATGATTTGGGGGAAATTACTTAACTACCTGTGTCTAATCTCATCTGTGAAATGTATGATAACTACCTTCAGAACGGTTTAAGATTAAATGAGATATATGATATAAAGCACAGTCTCAAAACAACATAACAGAGTTCTGGTCTGGGGAAGATGGAGTAACCACACTCTACTCTGTCTCTCCCACTGCAAACAACTATTAATTCCTGGACAGACTATATGGAGCAGCTATCTGAGGACTATGAAAAGTAAATGGTAGAAAAAAGATTGGGAAAAGAGACAGGAATTAGAAGTTCTATCATCACATCAGTAATGATTTTACCATTTTTCCCCCTCCATGGGGGGCAAAAGGAAGCTTGAAACTTAGAAGTATGCACCAAATAAGGACAAAAAGAGCTCCAAGAAAAGCCCCCTTTTTTAGCCCAAAGAATGGAAAAGAGGACTCCTAAGGTGTGGAGAGAATGGGGGAAACCCTCCTCTCCTTCCCCAGGCACCAAGCGTACAGGGGCAGCAGTGGAGGCAGCAGCACCGTGATGGGAGTGGCAGCTGGGCAGGTGCCCAACACTCTGAGGGAGGAGAACCCTTCTCTTTGACCAGAGGAGCTGTGGTTCCAAGAGTGGGGCAAATCCCCCTTGCTTTTTGTTCTCTCTGTCCCCCTGTACCCTGCTCCAGATGCAGACACAGTGACAGGAAGTGCATGGCAGAAGAAGAAAATTAAGAACCCCAGTTTTCCGGAGAGAAAACCAGAAAGGAAGGCTCCAGAAAGCTGGAAAGTACTGGAGTGACCACAAAAAGGAGACAGATCAAGATAGCGATCCTATAAAGTTGAGTCTCATGTACCTTTTTATTGCGAGGGCCTAGTATAAGCTACAACATAGTAGATATTTGGTAAATGTTTGTGGGGTTGAATTTTGAAAAATTCACAAAAATCCCAGTTTGGGGATATTAATGATTCCTAATATTTTATTCCAGAATAGGATAATTAAATATTACTCTTACAGCACATTTATACCCATTATATTCATATTACTTTATGAGTCATAGTAAACTTTAGGCTCTAAACAGCAAAAATACCACATTATTATATTCTTAACAAGGGATCATTTTAACTTTGGGATTAACAAAGACTTTCTGAAATTTTCTTTTTAAGAAGAAAGAAATCATGAAATAAGTTTTTCTTCTTGAAGCTCTGGACAATTCCAAGCATTTCTTGGATAGGAGAAATGTTCAATACCATGCCACAGAAGTAGGTTATTTATTCTTGACCTTAGCTACAATAATTTTATGTTCTCAAGCACAGAATGAATAATTCTCATATTTTTTCTCAGCTAGCATAAACCGTAGGTGTTTTTCTTATTTATAAAAATGTCTTGTCCTTTATAAAAATCCTTAAGCTATTTTTATATAGTGATTATTCCTGAAAACATTTGCTTTACACTTAAAAGGGGGCCATCGTGTTGATCAGGGGGAAACTATAATTGCTTGCCATACACCTGCAATGATTTCAAGTAGGCAGGCACATCTCCAATTTCTCTGAATTGTACTAAGATCTTATTTGCTGTTCTTGCTAATCTGTCTTTATTTTTCCTTTACCCAGAACAATAACATTTATTTCTGCCTGGCCTCATTTATGCACAGATATTCAATTTAATTACAAAGATAATCTCACCGGTGACAGAAAAATAGGTGTAGAAAATTGTTCTTTTGGATGAGGCACAGCTGCCACAGAAACAATTTTAGAAAAGCTTAAGATTTTAGAAAAGCTATTATATGAAAAAATGCTTACTGTTTATTTATTTTGAGAAAATGATAAAGATTAAATGTGACCATTCCACTAGGTAATATTCCTTCCACAGGATTCCACCGGTTCCCAGGGAAGTTGACACCTGGTAAATGCTTTGCCATCTTGGGTAAATACCACTCGTAAGTCATCATCTGCCAGAAAAATCACATAATGATGTCAGACTTTTAATATATTACTTAAAAAGAATCAAGCTTATCAAGTACAACGAAAAGGTTCTAAAATGTGAATATATGCATTAAACATAAACATAATTGAAAAACAAGCACAACTGAGGTATGTGGCACTGAGCACTCTTTTAATGACTTAAACCTGGGATTTTATGTGTTAAGATGTGACCAGCATCAGTAACATCTGTACCTAGTTTTATTTTACCTCCAGTGTTCAACTGCCCTCCCCCGTCTCCACAGCCATAGTGACACGCTGTTAAAGCACTTTGTACCCACCTCTATTATAGCTCTAGGCCTATTCCTCGCTAGACTGTAAGCTCCTAGAGGAAAGAAATTGTATCTTTTCATCTTTGTGTCTCTGCACCTAGCACATTGCCTGGCATAGAATAGTTCTCAAATTGTTTGTTGAAGTTGAAATTTCTTTGATGGCCAGACTAGACAACCTAGACAAAATATAGAACTGTATCATTATTCCATTCTTTCATTCATTCATTCAAAAAAGCAAGTATTGCTCACCTATAATGAACAAGATATAATCCCTGCCCTTGAGAAGCTCAATTGTATAATAATCTAGGACTCAAAGTTAAAAACCCTTTTGGCTAAATTATCTGAATTTATTAGTAGCCCCAAAGTAATTACATAAACTTACATGCTCTTTTGAATTAACTTATTAATATTAGAAAAAATTATTTTTCTTAATTTCATATTTTGTTTTGTTTTGAGACAGGGTCTCACTCTGTTGCCTGAGCTAGCGTGCAGTGGCTTTGTCATAGCTCACTGCGTCCTTGAACTCCTGGGCTCAAGCAGTCTCCTGCCTCATCCCACACAGTAGCTGGGACTACAGGTGTGCGCCATGATGCCTGGCTAATTTTTCTATTTTTGTAGAGACGGTGTCTCGCTCTTGCTCAGGCTGGTCTCGAACTCTTGGCCTCAAGCAATCCCCGCACCTCGGCCTCCCAGAGTGCTAGGATTACAAGCGTGAGCCACCATGCCTGCCCAATTTTATACTTAATGTATACTTAATTCTATACTTTTATATGTACAGATTTCCTCTTTTAAATGAAAAGACTCCTATTTACACTTTCAAAGCTTTGTTACTGTTTGGACATCATCATTTAAGCAGTTGTGGTTATGTTTTTACTTATCTTATACAATCATTTAACTATTAATAACAAATGACAAATTAATTTTAATCTAAGCATAAATTGTAAATACTCAAAAAATACTTATTTAATTAGATTTTACTACCCACTAGTTTCAGTTCTTAGGGACATTAACATTAATTACATACCCACTGTGTGCTATAACCTTATTGTTCCTCATTTAATTCTCATAATAACCTTATTATGTCAGAGTAATTGTATCAGATACTGTCAATTGCCCACTCAACAGCTAATACTTTCTCTTTTTACTAATGCAGTCCTGATTTTGATCAGGTAGCTCAGGGTCACAATATGCTCAGGTCTAGTCATTCCCCCTTGCTAGTGAACAGTTCAGCAGTGGGCATTTGACCCAGCACTGGTCAGGGGGCCCAAGTGGAGGTCTGCTGGGGGCTTCTTGGGCACATGTTACTCCCAATAAATAGAAAGAGAAAGAGAGAGAAGGACATGCCCCAGAAGAAGCACTTTGCTTTGTTTCAGATGTGACGTTTGGAACTGAGCACCCATCTTGTGAATATGAGGGAAAAGTCAAGAGAACTACAGAAAAACTGCTTCAGAACACTGTCGGCATTGAACTACTTGTATTATCAATCCTAAAATCTCCTATCTCCAGACCACTTGTCATGTAAGATAAAAACACAATAATTTAAGCTGCTCTTAGTCAGGTATTCTGTTTCTTGCATTCAAAAACACCCTAACTCATATAATGATGACTTCCATTTTAAAAATAGGGAAACAGAAGCTGTGAGAGGAAAAATCAGTCCCACGTCACATATCCAGGAAACAACAGAAAGAAGACCTATGTTTAGGTCTAATTCCCTTTTTTTCTCTGTTGCCCTGGCTAGAGTGCAGTGGTGTCATCATAGCTCACTGCAACCTCAAACTCCTGGGCTCAAGCGATCCTCCTGCCTCAGCCTCTCAAGTAGCTGGGACTACACGCATGCGCCACCATGCCCGGCTAATTTTTCTATTTTTAGTAGAGATAGGGTCTTGCTCTTGCTCAGGCTGGTCTTGAACTCCTGAGCTCAAGCAATTCTCCCCCCTTGGCCTCCCAAAGTGCTAGGATTACAGGTATAAGCCACAACACCCAACCTCTAATTCACTTTTACTTTCTTTTATTTATTTATTTATTTATTTTTTGAGACAGAGTCTTGCTCTGTTGCCCAGGCTAGAGTGCCATGGTGTCAGCTTAGCTCACAGCAACCTCAAACTCCAGGGTTCAAGTGATCCTCTTGCCTCAGCCTCCCGAGTAGCTGGGACCACAAGGGTGCATCACCATGCCTGGCTAGGTTTTTCTATTTTTAGTAGAGACGGGGTCTCACTCTTGCTCAGCCTGGTCTCGAACTCCTGACCTCAAGTGATCCTTCCACCTCAGCCTCCCAGAGTGCTAGGATTATATGTATGAGCCACCGCACCTGGCCTCTAATTCACTTTTTTTTTTTCTCTAATTCACTTTTAAACCTGTTTCTCAACTACAGTAGCTGACATCCCAAACTGTATTTAAAATCACACTGTAGAACCATATTATTAACAAATAACCTAGCTTTTGCCAGAAACCAGACTGAAGACCAAATTAATCAATCTGTACACATGATATAAATGCAAACTGCTTATAAAAATACATGAAATTTGCAAATTTCCCTATATTTGTAAATCTGTTTATAAATTTTTCTACACAAAATATAATTATTCATTAATTCAGCAAAATTTATTAAGTACTATGCTTAATAATTTGTTCAATTAAATTAATCATATTGTTCTTTCAAGATTAAGAATTTCTCTTTTCATGATGACTACTCTAAAAACACCAGAGATAGATTTCTTCCCTTTTAAGTATCTACGGTTTAAACAATAAATCTTATAGTTTAAATATAGTTTTTCACTTCTGAAAAATTGTCTTCATAGCCCTCAAAATTTTCAGAAGTCCTCTCCCAGTATATTTGTCACAGAATCAACAAAGTTTATATAAACATTCTATAGCAGAATTATAGTTAATAATTTTTATTTTGAGTGAAATATTTACCCACTCCTAGTATGATTTATTTTATATTAAATCTAATTTATTTTAATCCCTGGATCAGTGGGCAATATTAATTTGAATGGTTGAGTTGGCTGAATGTAAAAGAACAATTTAAAAATAAATTTACAATACAATAAACATTTTCATGGTTTGCCACATGAACTAGAGATCTAAAATATTATTTGAATCTAACACGAAACACATTAATTCTTAAATCATTCAGTTTAAATGAGAAAAAAGTAATTCATATGACTCATTCTATTAGTTAAAATAAACAAAAGAATGTGATATATATTCTACCTAAGAGTGATCATGAAAACTGGACCCATCTGCTATTTAAAAAAAAAAGACAGTTTTTTCAAAAACATGTTTCAAAATAATTGCTATATTTTAAGTACATTTTTCATATACTTACTTCCTGATCCACTAATGAAACATCTGGCCTCAACCCCTCACAGTAATGCATGTAACGGAGAGAATTCCCTGGCAAATCTCCTCTGAGTAAGATAATTGCATCACGAGGCATAGAGGCTAGAAGGTTCTTTGCAAATTTATCGATCACATAGTTGGTCCTTTGGTCACAAATGCTAAATAAAAGGATCAAAAGAACATTAAAATAGCAACACTTTGCTACAGTTTTAATAAAACTGGGTTTATTTTCTGTGCCGTTCCTTTCTCATCATTCAATCAACATTTAGTGTTTCAAAGTATTCTAAAAGGATGCATATATTTGAAAGGAGAACACTATCATCTGATAAACAAGGATGCAACTGAAAAACAGTCTACTGCTTACCTCTGGAATTTATAAGCATTTTCATAAAAAGGGAATCAGTGCTCAAGAATAAGTTCTTTTTTCTTCCTTAAAGCAATCCAATTTTACTTTTCAAAAGTAAAGTTTCTGATTCCTCTTGGAATTTAAGGTAATTTTATGTTAATTCTATTTACGCAAAAGAAACTTCAGAAACGCAAAGGAAATCTGCCAATTTCTGACATAAATTTGCATGACATTTGTATGGCTTTCTTGCATGCAGAGGTTTCCACCACTCCCCTGAACCACAGGCCTCCTGTGGTCCTCTCTCCCTTTGGAGACCAAGAAATCACTAGGGATGAGATCAATGAGAAGGTAGGGGAGGGAAAGGAAGAGTTTGCTGTTTACTTCTCTCCAAGCACTATTTG